TTTATTAAATTTATGTACCAGATCGCAGGGCATTTGGCAATACAAAAGTACACAACATAGTAACAAACAAACCAATTTCTCCTGCCACAGTTTAAAAGACCATAGATTGTTTAATTAGCCAAAGGGCTGGATAGCACAGTTCAACTGTTTCAAGGTCTTTTCATTTCTATCAGTTCCCAATATTCTGAATATTTCATCTTCTATGCTATACGCTCTCTGAAAATACACTTACCATTCTGGATCAGATATAGCTGCTATTCCTGTTTCAGGGTTTTGCTCAGGGAGAACTGGTTCTACTGGATGCCAAGAGAAGGCAGCAGTGCACAGCATAGATTGGTTGATGACAGTGACATCACCTCTTTCCCACACCTATCTTCATTCTTGGAACAAGTTTTAAGCATTTGACTACTTAGAAAAAAGTGAAGAGAATGTGTCTTATAAGGTTATAAGTGGCTCTTTTAGAAAGAGAAAAGAAGAAAAAAGAGGACTGTCCATTTGAAGCATGGGGGGGGGATAGAAAAATGTTCATAGTGAAGGCAAGAAGAAGAAAATACAGCAACTTCTGATTCAGTTGTATAAGAGTGTATTGTCTGCTTTTTGGTTAAGAAACAAATCCAACATAGACTCTATACAGAGGATATAGAGATAGGAATTCTATGAAATTAAAATTGTAATACAATAAAATACAAGACAGTGGCACCTTGGGTTAAGTACTTAATTTGTTCCAGAGGTCCGTTCTTAACCTGAAACTGTTCTTAACCTGAAGAACCACTTTAGCTAATGGGGCCTCCTGCTGCCGCCGTGCCGCTGGAGCACAATTTCTGTTCTCATCCTGAAGCAAAGTTCTTAACCTGAAGCACTATTTCTGGGTTAGCAGGGTCTGCAACCTGAAGCGTATGTAACCTGAAGCATATGTAACCCAAAGTACCACTGTATAAGAAATAAAAGAAGCGGCAAAAATATAATTACAAATCACACAGCACCTGTCACAGCACATTACAAATGCTGCAACAGGCAGAAAAATCATTTAGTAGTCCAACACCCTCAGCAATATTCAAGTGGTCCACATGGGGGGGGGGGGGAGTTGCATTGCACTAGCTTATTTATTCCTGTGGAAGTGCCTGGCAACCAGTTTCTTATCCAATGGGTGGCAGTGAAAGAAGAGAAAAGCAGCGGGGGCGGGGGGGGGGAATCCTTAGCTAGGATCTGAAGTTTACTGGCTTTTTGAATAATGAAAAACGTGGCAGCCGCTGCAGTTTGTTGCCTCCTAGCTTCGATTCTGCATTTGCGTAATAGACGAGACTAGCAACCTACCCAGCAGGGCTGTTTTTCGGGGCATGAAAAGTTCAGGGACTTTGGAAAGCCTTTTTGCATGTTCAAAAACGTTATTGAAATGATAACAATGCATTTGCGATCAAATCCAAGGGTGTTTTATCTTTAGAAACGTCTGAATACAGCAGCCTACATGCACAAATTGTTTTTATGTGTGTTTTGAAACAAGATAGTTCAGGTTCCCAAACCTTGCCATAAAAAGGATAAAGTGCAGTTTTATGTATGTTTAGATCATTGGGCATCATGGGGTTTACCTCTAAATAACTGTGCACACTGTAAGTGTTCTGGATGTATTTGCATAAAATTCAGTCAATGTGCGGCCAACAGACCTCAGGAAATCTGCAGGGTCCAAACGTGCTAAATTTGTAAGGGGGGAGGTGTGATTCATCAAAGATTTCAGGCAACCCACATGTCAGATTTCTCTTGCCTTCTGCACCTCCGTTTTCAGAATCATTTTCCTGCTTGTCCATGTTAACTGCTATGAAGTTGCCCAACTTTACAGCTCAAATTACACCCACCCCTTCTTGCTGTAATGGTATGATCTGCAATGGAAGGAAAACCAGTGGTGCTGAGTAGTGACAGGCTAACAGATTCGGTGTAGCCCTGGGGGGCATCCCATTGCTGCAGTTCTAGGCTATGTCTCCTTAATATTTTCCTCTTTATTTAAACAGGGGCATATTGAGGTGGAAAGTGAGACAGTCTTCAGGTTAGCTGCTTTGATTTTACAGGTAAGATTTTTCTCAAACTCTCTGCGTGCCTGTTGCTGTTATTAATTTTACATGCATGGTCTCAAAAGCCTTTAGTTCCAAAATTTTGACAGCAGTTTTTCATGTATTTGTTATATTGTGTAGGCATGTCTATTTCTCCCTTAACCCCGGCAAAAAACCAAGTAAATGTCCATTTGTGATACAAATGCTTCAAAACTGCCATTGTGCTAAAAGCAAACAGAGATGTTAGAATAGACGTAAACATTTGGGGATATTTGGGGTGAAGTAGGAATATGAGTATGTGTTTTAAGATGTGGAGTTGCACAGAATGATTGAACTAGCATCACGTTTCTAGCATAATTATTGCCCCACCCCCACAAAAAAAATTATATGTTGGACACTTGGTAAAGTGTGTGATATGGTACAGCAATGTTAAGCATTTCTGTAAATTTTTAAACCTCTCTTACCAGTTGCACTTCAAAAAGAAAAGCTCAAAATGTAGTGTCATTTTATTTTTAGAACAGTGTTCTGTAGATCCCAATCAAGGGCACTGTTGGTTTCCAGTTAGCAATCTTCCTTACCACATACAATTTTGTTGTTGTTCATATTTTCATGTCTCTTCTGCCTTTTTCTTAGCAAGAGACTTGGATTTTCATTGACAAAATTCAGCAGCAAGCTGATGATGGCTTTGACTTTTTGAACTTTTGTGCTGTTTTGAATGAACCTTGCCAGACTGTTCACAAGGGCTGGCCATCCCTGTAATTTCAGTTTGTGGTTGGCTGTAGCTGCGCAAGGATGGGCTCTCTGTTTCTTTGAAAAAAGCAAAACCCTGTAAAATCAGTGATGTCCTTTAGACTTGCCTGAGTGGTCAAGGCTTGGTTTAAAATACGAGTTTAGGGTGTGGGTGTGGGTTTTCTTTTAAAAAAAGTTTTCAGTGATGTGATGTCTTAATTTAGGATTGAGATCTACTGCAAAAAAAAATTACTGTAGTGTTTTAACATCATTACTTTTCTTAATTGTAGGAAGCTAAAGGGGACTACTCCAGGTAATTACATTTCCCTTTTCAATATTAGAATATAGAATGACTAGATTTTGTTCAGTTTGCATTACTTTAAGCAATCATTCACCAACTGCAAATGTGGGGAAGAGAAAGGAAAGCATGTGTAGTAACTGAAGAAGAAAGAATCACTGCAGCAGCCAGAGGCTGGACTCAGCCGTTCACACTGGGTTGGGGATTCTTTTGTGAATGGGGTGTGAACTGGGGCAGTGTCTTTCAAAGCGCCATAGCCTACTTGCTTGCACTAGCTAATCTTTAATAAGGCGAAACTTGCATAAACAATGGCAGCATTTTGTGCGGGGGGGTGGGGTGTCCTCTGCAGACAAGTTGTTCCATATTGTTGCTCATTTTTAAAGAAGTCCAGAGTTCCTAATGACCCTGCTTGTGAATAGCCCTGATGCGTACCCAGAAAGATGAAGCTTGTCAGTTGCTTGCTTTTGGAGATCAGTGTACAAAGTTTTTCCTCTGCAGCTGCCCCACAGGGGCCTCACCCGTCATGCTCTTGACCTGACAAGCTGCATTGTGGCCGGTGAGAGAGACTTGGAGCTTGTGTAGGGCTTAGCTTTCTACTTAGTGGTGCATAAATCGGGCAGCCCTGGCCATTGTGTCTCTTCCTACCTGCCAAACCCAGCCTTTTTGGGTGGAATTGCAAGGCAGAAGAAGGAAGGAGGAGGGGTGGGGTGGGTGAGAATTAAAACAAATGAAAAGGAAATTGTGTCTGAGCTGGAGGAGAGAGGGACTTTAATTAGTAGTGGCTCAATGAACAAACAAATTCAAAAGGTCAGCTTTCATCACGTTAATGTTTTACTACATGCCTGCCTTCCTGCAAAGGAAAGATTGCTTGTTTACACATGGCAGAAGTAGGGTCTGTATATTAGACTTAAGGTATACTTGGTGTGTGGGTGTGGGTGTGGGTGTGGGTGTGTGTGCATGCGGGTGAGAGTGGGACAACTACACTGTCTCTGTGCATGCTTGCTTAGATGGTGTGTCAGGCTGTGCCCCCTTTCCACAGCAGTGCCCTCAAATGCAGTACAGTGGTACCTCAGGTTAAGTACTTAATTCGTTCCGGAGGTCTGTTCTTAACCTGAAACTGTTCTTAACCTGAAGCACCACTTTAGCTAATGGGGCCTCCTGCTGCTGCCGCGCCACCAGAGGATGATTTCTGTTCTCATCCTAAAGCAAGGTTCTTAACCCGAGGTACTATTTCTGGGTTAGCAGAGTCTGTAACCTGAAGTGTATGTAACCTGAAGCATATGTAACCCGAGGTACCACTATACTGGCAAATCTGTCCCTGGTGATTCACAGTTGATCCAGGAGAAAGGTTTTGTGCTTCCCTTTGCCAGCCCCAGCCTTTGCTGGCTGGAGCTGATCATGGAAGTTGTAGTCCAAAACATCTTGGCAAAGGCTGATCTTTACGATTGGAGTCTGTTTGTTATGGGTTTTGGTACTTGATGGGAGCCATTGGCAGAGGCGTCCACTCCTTTCTACAAAGTTCCGCCTCTTCAGTGACATAACTTGGTGCTGTATTCCATTACAGGAGGGGCAGGGAAACTTTAATTCTGTCAAGGGCCACATGCCAGCAATGGACAGGGCCAAAGTGGGATGGACCACCCTCTTCTCTCTCTCTCTCTCTCTCTCTCTCTCTCTCTCTCTCTCTCTCATTCCCTCTCCCTCTCTCTCCTTCTGCCATCCGCTTTTACCTATCTCCCGCTTCCTCCCCACCCAGCATGTTGCTGGGGAGGAAGAGCTTGCTCTTGGTAGAGGTCTGAGCTGATCATTTGCAAAGCATTTCATAAGCACATTGGAAACTACCTTATACAAAATCAGACCATTGGTCCATCTGCCTTGGTACTGTCTACTCGATTTGGCAGTGGCTTTCCATGGTTTAAAAAATGGTTCTTATCTGTGTCCTACTGGGGATTGAACCTGTGACCTTCTGCACGCAAAACAGATGCTCTGCCACTGAGCTGTGGCCACTCCCAAGCATTACTGCCTGTTCTGGCTCTCTACCCTCCTTTCTAAAGGTCTGTACTGATCACTTGCAGAGGACTTCTCTCTTCTTCCACTGTGCTATCCATTTCCCACCCCCCTCCCCATCCCTCCATTTCCCCCTCTTGTTCTCCATCTTGCCCTCTAGGAACCCGCCAGCCACACAGGATTAGGCAAAAGGCTGCAGGTTCTCCACCCTGCACAGCACGAATACAACAGCAAAACTTTCTAGTAAGGTGTTTTGACTTCACTTACCAGCAGTCGTTAGGTAAAGGTAAAGGGACCCCTGACCATTAGGTCCAGTCGTGGCCGACTCTGGGGTTGCGGTACTCATCTCGCTTTATTGGCCTAGGGAACCGGCGTACAGCTTCCAGGTCATGAGGCCAGCATGACTAAGCCGCTTCTGGCGAACCAGAGCAGCGCACGGAAACACCATTTACCTTCCCGGTGGAGCGGTACCTATTTATCTACTTGCACTTTGATGTGCTTTCAAACTGCTAGGTGGGCAGGAGCAGGGATTGAGCAACGGGAGCTCACCCCGTTGCAGGGATTCGAACCACCGACCTTCTGATCGGCAAGCCCTAGGCTCTGTGGTTTAACCCAGCAGTCATTAAGTTCCCTTTAATGTAGTTAAGGTCGCATCAGTTACTTGCAAGAAGTAGACCTTGGCATAGTTATTGTAATTATTTGCAGGGCATAATGTACAAAAGAAAAAGAAAAAAACCCTATACGATAAAAGGTCCTCAAAGTTGTACGGGTGTTTATTCAATGAATACCCCCTATCACTATACAAGCTGCACTAGCAGTAGTAGCACTGTCAATCAGCTGGTCTGTTCTTTGGGCTAGCAGGGATCAGCACAGTCCCTGTGCAACTTGCAGTTGTCAGATGGTGCCAAAAACATCCTCCACCCCTATGTGCTTTGACTGAGCAATAGCTGGGTATTTTGTAACAGAATGCAAGCACTTCCTAAGGTTGGTTGGTGAGTCTTGCAAATTTAACTGAAAGCCATAGGTTTTTTTAATTGGTAAGATTAACCAATTAATCCCAGATCAGAATACTTAGCAGTAATCTGATTTAATCCATGGAAGGATTTGCAGTGTGTTGAGAATGCCGTCATGCTGAATGCTACATGCATGTTGTGAGTTGGACGAGACTCTCCTCACTTGCAGTTCCCGACAACCGGGACTCAGAGGCAACAGGTATTCATTGGAGGTAGCATGCAAACTTCTTGGCTAGCAGTTTACTGATAATCTCATCTCCCCGCAGAAGGTAGAGAGAAGAAATAACTCTGCAAGTTTCTTGAGGACAGTGCACTCCCTAAGTTCACTAGCCTTGCTGTGGGAATTCTGAGCTGAAGATATAGCTCTGGCCAGGCAAATTGCTTTTGCTTCCTCTGTATGCAGTGAGGTTGGCGATGTCAAGCCTGGCCAGCTGTTTAGTGTCGCCTTGGGACAATCGTGTACATTCAGGAAGCATCCAGAGTTAAAGCAAGGTCACTGCCATGTGTCAGGCTGCCGAGAGAAGTTAGATTGCTAGCATACCATGTTGAAACAGCAGGTGTGGGCAACATGGGCGATCAAATGTGAAGTATGCCCCAGCCCGCACTCAGAGCACTTAGGCATGACTTTCGGTTTCTGACTGGAATGCAAAGAATCACAGTTTTCATTTGTTTCCAAACAGCCCAACTTCCCTTGCCATAAATAAATGCCATAAATAAGCCAACTCATATGCTGCACATATGCTGCATAGTGTGTGTGCTACAGCAGTTCTTTCAGTTCAAAATAAATGTGTGATGATACATTAATTTGAAGGTCAATAAACATAGACCCAGAAATCAGTACAAATGTGTCTGGTGCAGCTAAGCAGGTCTAAGGCTTGCTTTTGTTACCTGAGTGGGAAGGGGATGCTTGGGAAAAAGTGAGAATTCAAATGTAATAAACAGAGAATAGTTAGCACACACACACACCTGGTACCTCCACTGATTTTAAAGATTATTTCGGTATTTATTTATTTCGTAAAATTTATGCACAGCTTGATTGTAAAAAACAAAAACAACCCTAAAAGCGGTTTACAAAAGGTAAACCAGTAGCTGTAGAGTGTGTTTCTAATTCTCCTGTATTGTAGAAATGAAGTTGAAAATACAATGGCAAAATTGCCGAAGGATCTCAAATTGCAATCCAAACATGCATATTAATTTGCTAGTAAACCCCGTCAACCTTATTCTGAGCGGACATGCAGAGGACTGTGCTTTTAGAAATCAGAGCCTTATTGAAATGGGAAGAGGGAAATAGTTGTGGTTTTAGCTGTTGTTATTATACAGGCATATTTTCACTTTCTGCAAGTGAAATTTGTTTTCTTTAGAGAAGTCTCAGGACGGAATAGCAACAATTAAACTGATTTGTTAAAATTCTGAGGGGTGAGAGAAAAGAAATGTTGTTTTTGAGCCTCTTGATTTTAGAGCAAATGACAAGGTGTTCTTAGTAAATTTGCATTTCGCCAATGCAAAGAGCTTCACAGAATGTGCCTACCTAGGATTCTTCAATGAGACTTACTCCCAGGTAACCATGCACAGAACTGCAGTTGCACAGCACAACCAAATACTTATTTTTTATTTACTCAATAGAAAGTCACACTGTGCCCAGTGAGGTTAAATCTCTAGCGTGTTTAGGTTTGCAAGCTTAACCAATTTATTCTAACTGATTAATTGATTGAACACTCCAAACTAATCATTACATCCCTTCCTCCTTACTGGTTGTCTCCAGACTGTTATCACATTGCGGATTTCAGCATAGCATCAGGATGGTCCAGTAAAGAATAACTGCATTTATTTCGTGACTGACGAAAATGTGGGAACAGTTGTCAGAAAACAGGTGGGGGAGCAAATGTTTTGAAGTGCCAGATATCAGACCTGGACTCAGAAAGAAGGAGCTGCCTGTTGGAAACCATGTGCTAAATATTTTAAGCCTTCCAAGATTTTGACTCACAGTGCAACACTTGAAAAAGAAAGAAAAGAAATCAGTTTCAGCTTTTCATTTTGCCCTTGATATAAGCCCCATTTAGATCAATGGGTAAATGAGTGTGTGATTGCAGGCTAAATGTCAAATCAAGGATGGCTGAGGGGTGAGCAATAGGAGGGAGGAATAAGCATTCTGAAGCTGGTGTTAATTTATCTTTCTGTGTATGTGTATGTGTGTGTGTGTTTTTACAAAAACATGCCCATCCCCAACAGTTTTGTGTTCATAGTCGCTGGCCCTTCTGACCCAGCGACGTTGTAATTGCAAGAAGAAACAGCTAACGTAGCCCAACCCAACAAGATTTGCCTGGCTGATTTCCTTCTGGCTGATGTATCTTATTGTCTGCCCTTATCCATAGCCAGCCAATATATGAATGAAGTCCCTCAGCTGGGGATAGGCAGCAGTGTGTGAAGTAGCAGCAGCAGTTTGAGGCAGCCAAGAAGTGGGGGTTTCTTGAGCTCTGAAAGTGCTGGCTGCTCCCCTAGCAAACCTGATGTGCAAGCAGAAGATTTGGGGGTGTCATTAGAATGCTAAGCAGTGAGCCTCATCTGTTCTTAATCTGTATAGCGAATAAACACGGAGGCTGGAAAATGCCACGACGACCACGTTCCAATTCTCACCGCTTAGAAAATTCTGGCACACCTAACAATACTAACCCTGCTTCCAGCTCAGTCAGGCCACTGGCTCATGTAGCCTGCTGTTGTATACAGTGGTACCTTGGTTTACAAACTTAATCCATTCCGGAAGTCCGTTCTTAAACCAAAGCGTTCTTAAACCAAGGTGTGCTTTCCCATAGCAGTGGGGGACTCAATTTACAAATGGAACACACTCAACAGGAAGCGGAACATGTTCTGCTTCCAAACCAAAACACCTACTTCCGGGTTTGCAGCATTCTTAATCCAAGTTGTTCATAAACTAAGCTGTTCTTAAACCAAGGTACTGTTGTATTCTGTTATCCGCTCTCCAGGGTTTCTGCTAGGTATGATCTGTTCAGCTAAAGATGTGGAGTACAGATGAGTATCATTTCTGGTGAACATATTTTTCAATAACAAGCAGTCTTTTGGCACCTTGTTACGGCATAAGCGCTGGAGGCAAAAGCATGGAAGTTTTATTTTTCTTTGGTCTGGTTACAGTTCAGGAAAGTATTGTTGCATTGGAAGTCTCCCTCCTCCCCGCCGCTTTGTTTTCATCTGCAAACTACAGCTGTTGATTGGAAAGTGCCACATTTTTCATTTTCAGAAGCCTGGGTCATACCCGGACAACCAGCCGGTGTGATTGTATCAACAGGAATAGTGTATATGCTGCTAATGAGACAGACTGTGCCCAAGGGAAGAGGCAGCATCAATGTACGAGAAGGGAAGGCAATGTTTGTTTTCAATACTGAGAGCTCAATGGTTCCTTACTTGAAAGCTCTTTAGCAGGTTAAAGCTAGAGAAATCTAGCAGCAGAGTGGCAGATTTGGAAGATGCAGAACCGCTTGAATGTATGCCAGGGGAATTTTGCCAGGGGAACTCAGAAGTGGAAGATCCCCAGGTGTGCTTATGTTTATAGAACATTTATGGCTGGTGTTAGTGTAAGATAGCTGGGCTTTCTTAATAGACCATAATTAACAATAAAAAGAGACCTGTAGAATTGTAGGTAAAGAGGGATGGGAATCATGGGCTGGACCTCAGCAACAGACATCTTCCAAAGGGTTTGTGGGGGAACTAAGTCACAGTGCAAGGGGGGCCCATTCTATCTCCTCCAGCCTTTTCGTGCAAAGCAGAGCATATATATTTGCATGTGATTTGCCACAACATAAAATGAGCTTAAAGTAATTACCATGAAAATGGGTAATCCAGCTGTATTGATGTATTAACTCGGTCTACTGATTTGTGATGCAATTTGTACTTCTTTTTTATGAATGTAATTTCATTGTTTATATGATGTAGTTCACTGCCGTGGTATTTTTTTTAAAAAAAAATGCATTCATA